CAGAACTGGGGGAACAGTGCTTGAGATAAGAATACAAAGGACCTGAGGTGGGTGGGGACTAGAAAGCCCTGGTTCAGGGACTAGGAAACCGGGAATGGCTGACCAAACATGGCAAGGAATAAAGAAGTGTGGGATGAGGCAGGGAGGCTGGCACAGACCATGGCCACAACCTGGGATACGGCCCAGGGTTATTCTGAGTATACTCAGAAGCCATTAGAGGGGCTGGGCATGGTGGCTCATGTCTGTAATCCCAACACTTGGGGAGGCCACGGCGGGGTGGATCATTTGAGGTCAGGAGTTTTGAGACCAGCCGGGCTGTTAACATGGTGAAACCCCATCTCTACTAAAAATACAAAAACTTAGCTGGGCATAGTGTCACATACAGCCTGTAATCCTAACTACTTGTGAGAATGAGGCAGGAGAATCCCTTGAACCCGGAAGGTGGAGCTGCAGGAGCTGAGATCGCACCACTGCCCTCCAGTCTGGGTGGCAGAGTGAGACTCCATCTCAAAAAAAACAGATCAAAAAGCCATTAGAGGGCTTCAAATAGCCATGATGTGAAACTCCCTTATTTGCCACATCCTTGAAAACAAACACACTGAATAGCCATATTGAATTGAAAAATTAGGTGATGAGACAAAAACAATTAGCCAAGGAGCAGAAATTTGGGTTTAAATGCTAAGTTTCATTTGGATTTATCTTTTGGTTGTATACAACCAATGGCCACAGTAAAAATCAACTAGAATCTCTTCGCTGGGAACCACCTTTCCTATAGAGTATTAACAAATCTGCTCACTATGACTGTATATTCTGTCTTCAGGCCATTCTACAGGTTCATGACAAGGAAGTCCTTGCCTCTCAGCTGCTGGTGTTGACAGGGCAAAGGCTGGCTCACGCGCTTCTCCACACCCAGACGAAAGAAGGAATGGAGCTGCTTGCCAGACTTCCACCCACACTGTGTACTTGGCTCAAAGCAATGGTCAGTGCAATAGAATGAGATCAGGCCATTGGCTGTTTTCTTCAGTGACTAGTTAATAACCGTCATGAAGAACATCTGACAAATTTAATTTCTAGTTACAAAGGAAAGCGTTTTCTGTAGTAACTCTTAAGTCAGGAACAATTGTTGTTCAGTCGTCTATAATAGGTTATTTTTCTGTCCCATTTGCAGGACCCTCAGGATCTTCAAAACACTGAAGTGCCAATTGCAGTAACAGCTAAACTAGTAAATAAAGTAATTGAGCTTTTACCAGAAAAACACGGGCAGTATGGTCTAGCCTTACACCTCATTGAAGCTGTGGAAGCCATATCTCTTCCTTCTTGATGACACTTACCTACTGGAAATGCTCTAAAATATGATTAAACGTCAATTAGTGCATGGTATTTTACATAATAAGACCTGGAATTTTATGGGAAAAGTATGTCTTTTTTTTTTTTTCTTTTGTAAAAGAAATAAGAATATATACAACTTTTGAAAAGTGCAACCCTGGCTAAATTCCACTCCCTGGTAATACTAAAGATAAATATAAACAAATGTCAACTCTATTATAATTAATACAGATGTTTTACTGTTATTTCTAATTCAAACACTTCGGTAGCTTTATTGTTAAACTTTGCTATTTAAAAAATGGTTATAGTTACATATATGTTCTTATAAGATTCTGTATTTGCTATCTAAAATGTTGTAATTCAGTCTAAATGTGTTCATGTACAGTCCCCATCAGTAGAGTATAGAAACACCCCACTCTCCTTTAGTAAATGTTGAGGGAAAACGCTTTCTTGTCATGCTTCAAGTCCCACACTGGGCTGCACCGGGGAGTTCTGGAGACTGAAAGGTTCCTTCCCAGAGGTTCTGCTGTTTGCCATCGGAGGATGACGGTGCTTGAGGAGGAAGAAAACGGGTTCAAGACCATCATATTCATCAGCAGGGGCCCTAAACAGAACCCTTCACTGTGTACTGCCAAAATGAGGAAAAGAGGTGTGTACACTGCAGCAAATTAATTATAATGTGAGTTAAGATTGCTTTTTTGCCAAGTTGCAAAGTGTGTATCACATCAGGTGTCTGTAAAAATGTATTATCTTGTAAAACTTATGTAAAAAAAAAAAAGGCAAAAGATCCTAAAAATTTTAAGTCCAACTTTATTTTCCTACAAAGTGTTAGAATGCTTCTGGATTTGCTGATGTTATCTGTCCTTGGGAAACAGTATTGAAAAAACTGCTTAGTGATATTACAGCTTTTAGCAAACGACCTCATAGCTGGGATGAGAGCATCAAATACAACTAATGTTGTACCCTACAGTGCGAGAGCAGTCCAAGTGCTAAATAAATCTTTACTGATTAAAACCAAACTATCGCTACTCGGGAGGCTGTGGTGGGAGGATTGCTTGAGCCCGGGAGTTTGAGGCCATCCTGGGCAACAAAGCAAAACCCTGTCTCAAAAAAAAGAGGAAAAAACCAAATTAACCAAAACTCTGTAATGTAAAAGAGTGCTTTGAGCTCTACAAATACCAAGTGTTTCTTATGGTGTATTTTAGAGTGTAGCCATAAAGTGTAATTACTGGTATGTCATGGATCACAGTTGTTACTCATAGTAAGTCACTGTGATACACACGTTTGTTTCTTCACTTTCCCTTAAGAAGCCAACTATAGTAATCTTGCAAAGTTGAGAAGTATGTCCTTCAGGGATATAAAGAAAAAGCTGTTTCTTGACTAAAAGAGCACATCCAAACAAGAATTTAACTGGCTAAAATATAATAATTACTGTTAAGTAACTATGAAACTTAAAATCCTACAAGGGAAGTGTTTAAGATGTCTTGAGTATTTGGGATGGGGCTGAGAGTCTGACTGAGGCATACATTTCATAGAGTAATAACAGCACTGTTAAGAGCTAATCCAACCTCCCGGCCTCTGCTTGGGTCTCCGCTACCCCAGGCAGACGCATCCTAGAATTCTTGTAAACATATCTGGCTCTTAACAGTCACTTGTCATATATGTTCTAAGAGATCAGTTCTTCCTGTGATATTTTGCAGGTATGCTGAACGTAGTGTGAACTTAAGGAGACTAGTCAAAGAAACTTGGAGTTACAGCCATTTTTAAACACTAAATCCTCAATTCCATCATCACTTCGGGGGAGGGGGTACTTATTAAGCATTATATAATAAAACTGGTTAACCTTACTCTGGTAGAACAGACAGTCCGATTTGGGGATTGCTGAGAATAATCAGAAGCTGAAATATGGCTCACAGAATCCTAACACAAGTAATTAAGACTCGAGTTACATTTGTTATCCTAAAATTGTTCATAGAATTTTAAAATTGAATTCTGACTTGTATGGTTAAGAAAAGCAGTTAAATATTTTACTGCTTATCAAGGGCTTTTAAAGTAAATAAATCTGATATGAAGAAAGGCAAGTACTATGTAGATATTCTGTAATAACAAAGCCACAGATGATAAAGGAATTAGATTTTATGTAGAATGGGTTGTTTCTGAAACAAAAGTATGTGGCACTTACTGTAGTTATTGATAAGAGGCCAATGACCAGTAGTGTTTCCTAGATAGATACCCACCCTCACACAACTTTCTTCATTAATGTTGAATATGCATTTTATCTTACGGTATGATGCTCAAGGAAAACAAAGTGTTCAAATACTCGTAACTTCTACATTACAGATTCTGTTGAGATGTAAAACTAGAGGGGCCAGGGAAAATGTAGATAAAGGGATACATAGCACCATGCTTCTAAATGCATCATACTATTGCAAAAGAAAAAAAGAGTTTTACCTTTATTATAAAACTTCATCTACGGTCAAAGTAAACACTGTTACATTTAAATTGCTATTTTAAAACAATTGCAATCTAAAGTCAAAAATCTGAAATGTAATAATACTAGACTTAGATTGAATATAATGCTCATTTAGAAGTTGCTGTGGTCCGTTTGATTTATAAGAGAGAAAATATTTTTACAGTACACTATAGCAACAGCGAGAGCCCTCTCCCACTCTGATAGGAATGGGTTTGCTGGATGTCTACAAGTTAGATTCCTGCTGAGTAGAATTAGCCATCCTTAAAAGATTTTGATCCAATACTGAATTGTTTATAAAATGCTTTCTCTATTGTAATGTACTATAAGTAGTGAAATTCTGTATATACTGCTATTTTCTGTCCATTGTTGTGAACTCATGTACATTAGTGAAATAAATTTTCAGCTTTCATGTTGTTTCCTAAACATTCATAAATATAAGTAAGTATTAAGAGATTTCTTCCTCTCTTGAGTAACAAATTTGGTCCTTCGCTTCCTTCCTCCCTTTTTTTTTTTTTTTTTAGATGGAGTTTCCCTCTTGTGGCCCAGGCTGGAGTGCAATGGCGTGATCTCGGCTCACTGCAACCTCCACCTCGCAGGTTCAAGTGATTCTCCTGCCTCAGCCTCCCAAGTAGCCGGGATTCCAGGTGGTATGTGCCACCACACCTGGCCAATTGTGTACTTTTAGTAGACGTGAGGTTCTCTGTGTTGACCAGGCTGGTCTCAAACTCCCAACCTCAGGGGATCCACCTGCCTCAGCCTCCCAAAGTGCTGGGATTACAGGCATGAGCCCCACCACATCCAGCCGCTGATTATTTCTTTCTAATCCAAAAACTAGCTCTTCTGAAAAGTCTGATGTTTACTAGTGGGTTAAGGGAGACACACCTCTGCCATTCTCTTTGAAAACTGTACTTGTCCTTGATACTCACTTCTGCACCAACAGCAGTCAGTACTTTTCCAGAACGCCTTTATTTTCAGATATCATAGAATTTAAATCCTGAGTCCAAAGATGTATAAAATATAAAACATTTTCTGCTCAACCATATTTGAAGATAAGCTAAATACATGTCTATGTTATACACACACACACACATTTTTTTTCTGCATGTATATACACATAATTCTTTCCGTAGTTACAGGAAATACTTTTTATAATTCTGATTTCGACCCTCATCCTCCACCGTGTACTCATCCACTCATTACCTAAGTCTTGGATTTCTTTCCAGTATTGTAAATAATGTATCTAAACTTCTAGCCAGTACTGTGGGGAGGTTCTTGCTCTGGTGAGCTATAATACTATTTTCCACTAACGGCTTCCGCACAGCGAGGACAGAGTGTATCTGAAGATTCCGCTGTGTACTTCCAACAACGAGGGCATTTTCCTTTGGTAGTCGGCATGACAATTACTTTATAGGAAGACTCTTCACGAATATCACCACCTATAAAAAACACATGAAGAGGATTTCTCATAGGCATTCAACTTGTATCACTATTTCTTCATTGGTTAGCAGAGGCCTCTTTTTCAAGTCCTCCATCCTGCTTTGATAAAGCTTGTTAGACACTTCCCCGTTTGCCCCATTACAGATGTAGCCAAGGTAATGGGATCAGACAACTCAACAACCAAAGAGAGCTGAGGAGTTGGCGACCCCATCACTCTGCGACTAACAAACATCTCCCAAGTCGCTGACGTCTTCTCAGGCAGAGCAGAGTTTCTAGCTGTTTAATCTGCGTATGGTTCTGATGAATGACGCTGCCTCTCCAGCTACATACTTGACTAAGAATTGTTAAACGCCAAATTACAGTGACAACTACAGTGTCCTTACTCAAGATTTCTCATGGGACAAAAGGAACCAAAAGTATCTCCACAATTAATACTTAGACCTCAAATGGATGAAATATAAAAGTAAATTATTTTCTAGTCATTGTACAGAGTATATGAACATTACATGGCCAGGCGCAGTGGCTCACGCCGAGCACTTTGGGATGCCAAGGCAGGTTGATCGCCTGAGGTCAGGATTTCGAGACCAGCCTGGCCAAAATGGTGAAACTCTGTCTCTACTAAAAATACAAAAATTAACCGGATGTGGTGGCGGGTGCTTGTAATCCCAGCTACGTGGGAGGCTGAGGCAGAACAATCGCTTGAACCTGGGAGGTGGAGGTTGCACTGAGCCGAGATAGTACCATTGCACTCCAGCCTGGGCAACAAAAGCGAAACTGTGTGGGAAAAAAAAAAAAAAAGGCCGGTATAGTGGCTCACACCTGTAATCCCAGCTCTTTGAGAGGTTGAGGCAGCCGGATCACAAGGTCAGGAGTTCAAGACCAGCCTGGCCAACACAGTGAAACCCTATCTCTACTAAAAATACAAAAAAAAAAAAATTAGCCAGGCATGTTGGCATGCACCTGTGTTCCCAGCTACTGGGGAGGCAGGAGAATTGCTTGAGCCTGGGAGACAGAGGTTGTGGTGAGCTGAGATGGTGCCATGGGCACTCCAGTCTGGGCAACAGAGCGAGACTCAGTCTCAGGAAAATAAAATTACAAAAAGTAAATTAAGCCAGAACCTTTAGTACATGGTCTATGCTGCCACGCCCAAGTTTGAACTGATGCCTCTAAGTTAACTTCCCATCCCCTGTTACCCGAAAGCTATGAAAAACCCAAGTAGCATAAACTTTGCCAAGATACCTGCTTATTTTTCTTTATTAATGCAACTCGACCTCCACCAATGAAGATGAACCAGGTTGACTTTTTAAATCTTCTATAAAACAAGTATCTACGAAATGCTTCCTTATGACATACCATTGTTAGAGTGAGCTCAACAAAACATCCTCCTTACCGCCTCACAAGAATGGCTAAATATTTTAATCTGGGGTATACATAACAGGAAATTTCTGCATCAACAATGAGGAATGGGACAGCGCCAGTGCAGGGGTACTAAGTATCAAATCGGGGACATGAAGGGAAATGGGAGCAAGTCAGACTAACATGAACCTCATATACAATAACCAACATTTATTCAAAGGACAGAAAGAAAGTCTCTTTCTTCTGTCCCTAGCCCTCAGTTCCCAAGATCATCAGATAAGAGTTTTAAGAGTGGGCTTAGAAACTTGGCAACCGTTTATATTATTTCCACAGAAGGATGCATTCCAAGTATGTAACTGCCTTTAGAAGAAATCTAGTTCACTGGAAAGCTCCAGATGGCTTATAATTCTTCAGTTCTCCAGATGTTACTTATTTGCATGTCCTTCTTACCTTCTAAGTTAATGAGGAATTTCCCTTTAAGCTCAATTACATCTGCAGTCATCTCTCGTGGTTCCTGAGCCAGTAAAGTTGTCTCGGAAGCCATCATTAATTCATTCAACTGAGAGGTGCTGGAAGTCTCTTCAGACTGCAGCATCTGGACGGAAGCATGTGAAAGCTACAGTTTACGTTACATTTTTGTCATAAACTGAGGTTAGAAAAAGAGACACTATAAAATCTCATGTTTAGAGAGGAACCCTTCGGTACACCGTTGCATCCTGAGCAAACACCATTAAATGCATCAAGCCTAATTATCATAAAAGGTTTTAACTAAAGATTTCCATCAACAGTATTGAGAATGCCAGGCACTTCACTTTGCTAGATCCTAAAATGTCTCTTATTTCTAATTGTCACACACAAAAGGCCTGCATGGTGTTTATTGCACTAACTTTACAAATGAAGAAACAAGCAAAGAGACGTTAACGTGCCCAAGTTTCTCAACTGCAAGTCGAGCCCTGGTCTGTCAGCCTCAAAGCCTTTATGTTTTCATGTATCACTGAGTGAGGGGCTAAAATACTGTCTCAACAAGGACCTGCTTTTGTAATGTATAGTGATTGTGGCAATCTAAGCAATATGCAGAATGCTTCGGAAGTAGACCGAATTTGTCTGATAAACACATTTCTCACTGTAATTTTGATCTTCAAAGTGAGTTTGTAAGTTAACCAACACAGACACTCCTTTAAAAAATTAAAGCCCATGAGAAATGGGAGACTCAGAGAGATTAATTTGGTTTTTAAAGTTGATGCAATTAGTAATGGACAGACCCACCACCCCCTGACAGCTACTTGGTATGATTCCTAAGGAAAATACATCCATGTTTTGAAAATTCCAAAGTGTTTTTTACATTAAAATTGATCCAAAACAAGCTGTTATTACTTTCCAGTTCATTACTTAGACTGAAGTCAAAGGAAACAAACTACCAACATACGTAGGAAACAAGGCCGGGACTGGGCTGTGTACCCTGGCTGCGTCACGGCTTCAGCGGCCTCGCTTCCTCACCTGCAAAATGGAGAGCTTCCCAAGTCTACATTTTAAAATGTGAACATCTTATTACACCTACTAGCTATTTCAAACTCAAATCTCAATCACGCTAATTACATCGTTAAACATTTAAATTGAACTTACCAAACAAGGTGAGATGGGTATTTTTTAGAAAACTGAAACTAACAAAACTTTTAAAAAACATATTCATTGCCAATTCTCTTCTTAAGCATTTAGATTGGAAAAAAATCACATCATTATGTTAAGCTACAAACCAATCCGGCCAATCAACCCCTAAAAATCCCAAGAAGAAAAGTCTGATGTCCCTTCTGGAAATAAAAACCGGATAAATGCTTTGAAATATACGTGGTAACTTGCTGGACAAAGTGAATTTTCTTCAGCTCTCACAAAATAAAAATGGAAACTCTTTTGGGGTTTGTTTTAATTCTAGTTCAGGTGGATGAAATTCTCAGGAAACCAGACCCTTAATACAAAACTCCCAATTTTTATATATTTGAAGACGACTTCGACCAATTTATATGTCACCCATCTTTTAAACAGTCCTGAGGGCTTTCATTTGAAACAGAACTTTATACCTTTCCTGTTCCTGCAGAGTAACATGTACATGTTACATGCACAGAACATGTTTTACAAGACATGGAAAAGAACACAGTGAGGTAGGAAACAATCAGCGATAATACCAGGATTAGCAGACAGAAACCCTACTTTCTAAATTACTTTTTAAATTTAGACACGTTTTAAAAGTAAATTTTAGGCAAAGCTCTATGATACTAGTACCATTTCAAAAGGTGCATATTGCTGCATACCTCTATTATCTCAAAGAGCAGTCCCGGTTCTATCACAACGGTAACCTTGTACTCAGCTGCATTTTTGCCAGGGATGCTTCCGAGAAATGAATCTCGCATTGCACATGCACTCTCCACAGCTTCTTCCAACCCAGGCTTCTTCCAGATAGAACTAGTACTAATCCACCCAGTACGGAAAACACTCTTGGGCTCTTCAGAAGAACAAAAACAGTAAACTGCTTCACATACATCCTAAACTGTATATGAAGCTCTAACCGTTAAATATTGACCATGAATGGGAAATAAGAATTATTTATGGTAATCAAGTGATGAAATATGGAGCCATCCTAATTATTTACAAAACATTTACATCAGCGTTGGAAAACATTTGTTACATTTAAACAAAAGAGAAAATAGATAAGATCTCAAAGAAAAAAAAAGGATGCTTAGAAAAAATAAATAGAAGTCCGGGTGCGGTGGCTCACGCCTATAATCCTACGACTTTGGGAGGCCAAGGCGGGTGGATCACAAGATCAACAGATCGAGACCATCCTGGGCAACATGGTGAAACCCCGTCTCTACTAAAAATACAAAAATTAGCTGGGCATGGTGCTGCACGCCTGTAATCCCAGATACTCAGGAGGCTGAGGCAGGAGAATTGCTTGAACCCAGGAGGCGGAGGTTGCGGTGAGCCGAGATCACGCCACTGCACTCCAGCCTGGGTAACAAGAGCGAAACTCCGTCTCAAAAAATAGAAAAAAAGAAAAAGAAAAAATAAATAGAAATATCAGAATATTAACAGCTATCAGTACTAAGATTAAAGCGACTTCCCTCTCTTTCTACACCGCTATAGTTGCTAATTTTTATAAAGTTAATACAATCAGAAGAAAACAACTATCATAAAATATTCACTAAAAGGCACTATATTTTGTTTTAATAAAACCTAAAATATATTTCAGAACCTTGTTCGTTTTGAGACAGTCTCACTCTGTCGCCCAGGCTGAAGTGCAAGTGGCATCATCTCAGCTCACTGCAACCTCCACCTCCCAAGTTCAAGCGATTCTCCTGCCTCAGCCTCTCGAGTAGCTGGGATTACAGGTGCATGCCACCACACCCAGCTAATTTTTGTATTTTTAGTAGAGATGGGGTTTCCCCGTGTTGGCCTGGCTAGTTTTGAACTCCTGACCTCAAGTGATCCACCTACCTTAGCCTCCCAAAGTGCTGGGATTACAGGTGTGAGCCACCGCCCCCAGCCATTTCAGATCATTTATAAAGGTATTTAAGAAAAAAAGTGATTTCTTGATGCTGTCAAGCTGCTAATACATTTCAGAAAGCCCTGGAGATGGCAAGGGCATTGTGAAATTTACCCTGCTCCTCTACAAACAGGTACAGACACAAACACAGGACCAAGACACACTGTGTCACAGAGCAGTCACTGTAGACGGGTTAATGCCCCTTATATGAAGGAGATAAAATCAGAAGTTGCACCTTTATCAGGGATCTTTGTCATTCAGAGAATAAATGAAGTATTCCTTACCTGTAATGTAAGGTATGTGCTGGAACGCCTCCTCAGCCAGGTGAGGAAGAATGGGAGCAAAAGAACGAACTATTACATCCAAAATTTCAACTAATGCAGTCTGACAAGAGCGTCGTTTGGGGTCATTTTCCTTTTCACAATAAAGCCTGAATAAGAACAACTCATTCAGCAGTTGACGACACTTTGTATATATGGTCACCTAGATAGGACCTGCCTCAGGTTGACTTTATGTGTAGTGGGTAATCCTACGGCTCTAATCATCTTCTCTTTAAACGATACAATACCCTCTCCCAGAATTTTACTCTGTCCAGGTGCACCCACCTCCTCCAAAGCACTCATGGCTATGCTCTGTCATCTGTTTTTCAGGTGGATGACAACTAGGGGTCTAGACTACTGTAGTAAAGGACTACGAAACTTTAGTTGATGGCACTTAACATGTGGTTAAATACCACCCGTTACAAGGCTGTCAGTGTTTGAAGGGAAGCAGTGTTTATGGAGAGGGAGTCATAATCCCTTTGTGCAAGGTCCTTGGGGTGCTGACAGGCTGAGGCTAACACCTCAGACTGGACTCATTACCATAAAGACAGGACCGTCACCTGCACACTGGAGCAACAAATGAAGACTGTGGCATCAAGCCCTCTTCTACAAGGATACTGCCAACATGATACGCTGTTGCCATACAGCTGCACATCTCTCTCTCCCCCTCACGATTTGAGAACTCCAGAGAACAAGCACTATGTTCATCATCTGATACCAGCAGTGATTAGCTTTTGAACTTTATCAAGCACAGGGGTCAGCACATTAGTGCTTTTCCTTCTCAATCACGAGGTATTATTATACTCATTTTACAGATGAAGAAACATTACAGAAGAAGTTGCCCCAAATCATAAAGCTAATAAGCAGGAGGGCGGACCTTTATACTCAGCTGGACCCCAGAGCCCAGTCCTAAGTGCACGACACTGCCCATCTTGCTCATCGCTATCCCCGATGTTTGCAAACACAGAGAAGACACTCAAGAAATAGTGGTTGAGGTTTTTTTTGTTGTTTTTTGAGACGGGGTCTCGCTCTGTCGCCTCTGTCTCAAGTGAGATGGGGCACTGGACTGCAGGGGCACACTCTCGGCTCACTGCAACCTCCGCCTCCCAGGTTCAAGTGGTTCTCGTGCCTCTGTCTCCTGAGTAGCTGGGATTACAGGCATATGCCACCATGCCCAGCTCATTTTTGTATTTTTAGTAGACATAGGGTCTGCCATGTTTGCCAGGTTGGTCTCAAATTCCTGGCCTCGTGTGATCCACCCTCCTCAACTTCCCAAAGTGCTGGGGTTACAGGTGTGAGCCGCCGCGCCTGGCCATTGCTAAGCATTGTAATATTTAGTCATACATACCTATCTTTGATTACACTGAAATAAAAGTTAGACAGTTCTCTGGTATAAAATGTCTGTAACAGCCGAACCACTTTTCCAAAATCATATTGTTTGTATAATTCGGTAATCTAGGGAACAAAGCCAAAATAAATTTGGAAGCTGAGACAGGCAGATGAAAATGTAAGTCATCACAAGCAAACTATGCTCCTTTCAAAAATATGTTTCAAAGAAACAACTACAGAACAGGCAACATGCAAGAACTCCTGGAAATCTTCCAGATGTCATTTCTGGAGAACACATTTGACTCTCCTCAGAAAACACTATTTTACCCCGAGAACTACGAAAGAACATTAACCAAGAACGAGATTTTAAATAATAAAATCACACCATTTTTGCAACAGCAAATAGTGAAAGTTACCAACGGTTCATTAGTGTTCCCTGATTTTTGCCTCATTGATTTTTGATTTGGGCAAAACTGACGTGTACATCTCTGATACAAACACACTCCCAATTGTGAGAAAACAATTTTTTTTAAAGGGTCTTGCTCTGTCAACCAGGATAGAGTGCAGTAGCACAATCACAGCTCACGGCAGCCTCAAAACCCTGGGCTCAAGCGACCCTTCTGCCTCAGCCTCCTGAGGAGCTTGGGACTACCTGTTAACATGCCCAGCTAATTTTTTAAAGTTTTGTAGACATGGGTTCCAGGCTGGTCTTGAACTCCTGGCCTCAAGCAAAGTGTGAGATTCCGCACCCAGCCAGAAAACACAAATTATTTAAGTCCATGTAAAACTGAACAAATATCTTATGAGAGAGAGGAATAGTCGTTTTGGTTATTTCTGTACTTTGTTATGAGGAGCACATCTGCAGATAAATAAAGTATATCCACTTTATTTCTTCTTGTTGGAGAAATAGAGCTAATTGTGAGAGAAAAATCTGATCTGAGGGGAAGTCTGGATGCATTTCTCGAATCTTTTGAGAAACTCGAAAGATCTGGTAACACTTTATACCTGAGGCCAACCTGGGAATGTGTGAAATTTAGCAAGGGCAACTTTTTCAAGAGTGCAGTAGGTACTACTTCCAGCAAGGTCTGTTCTACTCAGATAAAACTAAAATGTTAACACCCAACAGTGCGGATATTTCTAGTTTCTAAAAGTTTATTAGTTTATATTTACCTTGTTTGCCAAGTCCTGCAGTAAGTGTAGCATATACTGGTCTATGACATACATATCATTGACAGGGATGGAATCGGTTTCTGGGTTGAAATCAGCCACATTTCCCAAAAGAAAGCGGAGTGTATTCCTAAGCTATTCATAGGAACAAAAAATACGCAGTTGAAACACTTAATGGTGCCTTCACTCTTCACTGAGAAGTTATTTTATTACTCTGTAATTAAGTTGCAGTCATCCAACTCCTGTCACGTTCTTAATGGGGTACTTTTATTATCGTCCCAAATAAGACTACAAATGCAAAAAACCAAAAAACAAAAAGTACACAGCAAACTCTCATTCCAGTAGGCCAGTTACAGAAACGAGCGCTGGATCAGAGGCAGAGGATCTTTCAGTGGCCCAGTTTATTCACGTGTGTAGGTCAGAACAACGTTACTTCACTTGCTTCACAGGTGAAAATACAGAGACATGGAAAATGTTAAGGGTTATTGAGTGCATAAAAGTATAAAAAATTAATATAATCTATACTATGCTATATTCTGCTTTATATATTGTATTAATAAAATATAAAGGATATTATATACAAATGATATAAAATTACTGGAATTACTACTAATGTTTTGAAACAAATTAACACAGGTTTTTTGTTTGTTTTTGTTTTGTTTCTGGAGACAGTCTCACTGTAGCCCAAGCTGGAGTGCAGTAAGTGACACGATCTCGGCTCACTGAAACCTCCACCTCCAGGGTTCAAGCGATTCTCCTGCCTCAGCCTTCCAAATAGCTGGGACTACAGACATGCGCCACCATGCCCAGCTAATGTCTGTATTTTTAGTAGAGATGGGGTTTCACCATGTTGGCCAGACTGGTTTCAAATTCCTGACATCGTGACCTGCCTGCCTCGGACTCCAAAAGTGCTGGGATTACAGACGTGAGCCACCGCACCGGCCAACAGGAGATTTTTAAAAGCTCACAATATATGGAGAACTCATTTTCTTTTGGTTTTTTTCAGTGCCAAACAAAATGTGTCTCATTTTTTAAAGCAATGATTTGGTAAAGTTTCCTTTAGAAATAGGAAGAATAATGGGTCTAACCTTGCTAATATCATCTCTGGCAGCATTGAGCACGGATGGGCCAATTGTAACTTCAGTGAAGACATTGGACTCTGCTACCCACCAGCGAAGGACATCAGCACCATAGGGAGGCTCTTTGCTTTGATCCTTTTCGTTGAGGAAGAAAATAGAAACAGAATGGCTTTCAATTCCCATTAGCTGAACAAATGTTTTAGGTAAGGCTCCTATTCAGAAATTTTTTAGCACAATATAAGTATAAACTATATTAGCACTGTAATGAAATAAGGGCTAACAATCTCAAATTAGGCTGTATCTAAAAACTGGAAAAAGAAAGAGCATGCTCTACAGATGCTAATACCCAATGTCTTCCCTGGTCGCGTCTGTTTCCAGCCACTACAACTCAGCCATACCTCTCCGGCAGTGCCGGGGCGATCTCTATAATAAGGGAGGGAAAGGGGAAGGCCTGCTTTTCCTTTCACTATTTCCTAGCAACTCTGTACACAAAACAGTGAATGATTACAGGATGTCAGCAGGGCAGTAAAAAGCCACAGGACTTAAAGAAATGAAAAACCCCCAAATTGTTAGCAACCTCAGATTTGATGTACATTTAAGACCGGCTTTAACGTGTATAATTTCCAACAATATAATAACAAAATGCGCATTTAGAAGTTGCAATCTCATTTTTTGTTTATACATTTCCATTTAACTATACAATTACACCTTTTTTTCCACGTCAGGCAGTAATGTGCTAAGAAGGTTTGAGAGAGGCGCACCTCATGCTTAGAAATCACAAAAGGAACTACACATTGTAAAAGCTCTCAGACAATTAAAAAAGAAACAGGGTGGGTTGGGACCTAACTGGAGAGTCAGACCTGAAATGGGTTAAAAGGGCCCAATACCGGCCTCTGCCTTTTTCATTAAAATCATGTGTTACTTGAGAGCGTAAAGGATAGTTTTTATTTTTACACTGACGTAACTATATTAAGGGCTCTGGCTACCAATTTAAGACCCTTAAAACGAAAATGAAGTATATTTTGGTGAATCACCTACTTGTCCTCCATTAATGACAACATCAGGACTGAGGACATTCCCAAGAGACTTGGACATCTTTTCTCCCTTTTCTCCAAGGGTAAATCCATGAACAACCACCGTCCTAAAGGGACAAATCAGCTATTTTAATGATAAACACAATTATAACTATCTTTTTGAAGATTATCTATAGTTTAAAAAGAATATCTAAGTTTGACACAAAAATATGATTTTTCTTGACTAACTATGGATGAAACCTTTTCATTTTTTTTTTTTTTTTTGAGACAGAGTTTCGCTCTTGTTACCCAGGCTGGAGTGCAATGGCGCGAACTCAGCTCATCGCAACCCCCGCCTCCCGGGTTCAAGCAATTGTCTGGCCTCATCCTCCCGAGTAGCTGGGACTACAGGCATGGGCCACCACGCCCAGCTAATTTTTGTATTTTTAGTAGAGACGGGGTTTCACCTTGTTGACCAGGATGGTCTCGATCTCTTGACCTCGTGATCCACCCGCCTCGGCCTCCCAAAGTCCTGGGATTATAGGATTTTTTTTTTTGAGATGCAGTCTCACTCTTGTTGCTCAGGCTGGAGTGCAGTGGCACAATCTCGGCTCACTGCAACCTCTGCCTCCCAGGCTCAAGTGATTCTCCTTCCTCAGCCTCCTGAGTAGCTGGGATTACAGGTGCCCGCCACCAGGCCCCACTGATTTTTGTACTTGTAGTAGAGACAGGGTTTCACCACATTGGTCAGGCTTGTCTCAAACTCCTGACCTCAGGTGATCCACTCACCTCGGCCTCCCAAAGTGCTGGCTTTAAAGGCATGAGCCACTGCGCCTGGCTGAAACCTTTCCTTAAAAGTCAAATTTGGCTGGTTATGGTGGCTCATGCTTGTAATTGCAACATTTTGGAAGACCAAGGCAGGCAGATCACTTCAGGCCAGGAGTTTGAAACCAGCCTGGCCAACATGGTTAAACCCGTCTCCACGAAAAATACAAAAGTTAGCTGGGTGTGCTGGTACGTGCCTATAGTCCCAGCTACTTGGCAGGCTGAGGCACGAGAATCACTTGAACCCAGGAGGCAGAGGTTGGAGTGAGCTGAGATCACGCCACTGCACTCCAGCCTGGGTGACAGACTAAGACTCCATCACAAAAATAAAAATTAAAACAAAACAAAACAAAAAACTCATTCATAGCTCATGTATCACAATGGTTAAATAGTAAGCTCTACTTAAACAAAGGAAAATTTTAGATATTTTAGTCACTAAACAGATTATGCTATGTACTGATTTTTATCATTAAAACTCAGTAAGTTGGAAATAGAAAACTATGGAGACAGAAAGCAGATCAGTGGTTGCTGGGGGCCCGGCGTGGGAGTGGAGATGCCCACAAACGGACATGAGAAAACATTTTAGTGTATTGGAAATTTTATAAAACCTTCTGTGGTTATTGTGGAAAAACTATATAATTCACTAAAAATCAAAATAATTTTAAAAGTGAAAAAATAAAACCAGGAAAAAATACGTCTTAAAAAGAGCAGATTATCATCTCAAAATTATTTTTCAAAAGATAATTTGAAAAAACAGGATGTGAGCCGGGCGCAGTGGCTCACGCCTATAATCCCAGCACTTTGGGAGGCCGAGGCGGGTGGATCACGAGGTCAAGAGATCGAGACCATCCTGGTCAACGAGGTGAAACCCCGTCTCTACTAAAAATACAAAGAATTAGCTGGGCATGGTTGTGCGTGCCTGTAATCCCAGCTACTCGGGAGGGTGAGGCAGGAGAATTGCTTGAACCCCGAAGGCGAAGGTTGCGGTGAGCCAAGATCGCGCCATTGTACTTCAGTCTGGGTAACAACAGCGAAACTCCATCTCAAAGAAAAAGAAAAAAAAGAAAGAAAAAATAGGATGTGCCCATCCATTGGTCTTTAAAAGTATGTTAAGAAACAAAACATGTAAAAGGGCCAGGCATGGTGGCTCCCGCCTGTAATCCCAGCATTTTGGAAGGCTCAGCAGGTGGATCACTTGAGGTCAGGAGTTCGAGACCAACCTGGCCAACATAGTGAAACCCCATCTCTACTAAAAACAACAAAAATTAGTCAGGCATGGTGGCATGCAACTGTAATTCAGTTACTCGAGAGGCTGAGCCGGAGAATCGCTTGAACCTGGGAGACAGAGATTGCAGTGAGCCAAGAATCCGCCACTGCACTCCAGCCTAGGCAACAGAGCAAGACTCCATCTCAAAACAAAAATAAAAACAAAAAACATGTAAAATGTTCTGGGATAGGTTTTCATCATAAGACAGCCAAAATCTTAAGCTAAGCCATTGAGGAATCTTTCTGATTCATATTTTCACTCATGTGTTTGAAAAAGTAGTATGTGTACTAAATAGGAATCCCTAATTTAATAAAATTAATGAAAGCAATGTTTCAGTTCATTAGCCTCTGTGAATATTACAAATGTAAGGGACATCTGCACTCAGGCTGTCTTCTATCAACTTCCAATATCCTTCACTACATTCCTCCTAGTCGTCTGACCACAGGTCAAGGTCTAGTGCTAGGCCAGGCATGGTGGCTCATGCCTATAATCCTACCACTTTGGGAGCCCAAGGCAGGAAGACTGCTTCAGGCCAGAAGTTTGGGACCAGAAGAGGCAATGGGAGGAGAACCCATTTCTAAAAAAAAACTAAAAATTAGCCAGGTGTGGTGGTGCATGTCTGTAGTCCCAGCTACTCAGGAGGCTGAAGCAGGAGGACTGCTTGAGCTTCCTTAGGAGTTGGAGGCTGCAGCGAGCTCTGACCACACCATTGCACTCAGCCTGGGTGACTGAATGAGGTCCTTTCTCAAAAACAAAGAAAAAACAACTACCTAGGTTCCCCCAACAACTCCAGTCAATGCTGACTTTTCCTTCTAGCAGTAATGATCTGCTTCACACTGACAAGACACCTTGGCGTTGCCTCCTTTTTCTTTTCTCTTTTTTTTAATTCAAATTCTTATTTGTTTTAATCAACAGGAGACTGTAAGCAACGGAGAGTGGTGCCTGACCATCTCTACAGTACTCGGCTCAGTGCTTCACACACTGGCAGGTACTCAGCAGGTGAGCTCAGGTATACTTACTTATAAGGTGCTTTCTTCCTTGCTGCCACACTCGTTAATAAGGATGACTGAAACCAACCCCCAAGCTGGTCTTTTCCTTCCAAGTACAAATCTGCTCTTTGGTCAGGACCTCGAAATTAAATATTAAAAGAAAACAATCCCAGAAATTTACATTAATTAAAATAGAAAAAGAAGATACGTTTTGATAACAATTAATGGGGAGCAAGGGAAGTAACTTTAAAATACAGAAAACCGGCAAATGTCGCCTTAAGCAAGCAAGTGACCAAAGTTACACATCATCAGCAGTAATGGGACATAGATATCAGGTGACTTGTGAAATAATGCATTGAAAAAAACACAGTATCTTTTCTGTGATATTCCCACATAAAATTCGTAACCTAAATCTAATCATGATGATGCATCCCACAAACCCAGAGAGATAATCCACCAAATAAACCCGTGCCTGCACAAATCTCAAGGTCCTGAAAGACACAGAACTAGACATGACGATTCAATGTAACATGTTTTCTCAGATTAGATCTTGGGTCCCTCCCCTCTTTCCATAAAGGGTGTGATTGGGTATAATTGAATAAGTTCTATAGGTAGTTAACAGCATGGAATCAATGTTAATTCTCTAATTTGATATCTGTGTTGGTTATGTAAGAGACTATCCATGTTTTTGAGAAATATACACTAAAATATTGAGCTAAAAGATGCCTTTTTTCCCTCTACATATACATACATAGAAAAAATATAGAAAGCAAATGTAGGCCGGGCGTGGTGGCTCACACTTGTATTCCCAGCACTTTGGGAGGCTGAGGCGGGTGGATCACCTGAGGTTGGAAGTTCGAGACCAGCCGGACCAATATGGAGGAACCCCATCTCTACTAAAAACACAAAATTAGCCGGGTGTGGTGGAACATGCCTGCAGTCCCAGCTACTCTGGAGGCTGAGCAGGAGAATCGCTTGAACCTGGGAGGCGGAGGTTGCAGTGAGCCAAGATCATGCCATTGCACTCCAGCCTGGGTAACAAGAGTGAAACTCAGTCTCAAAAAAAAAAAAGAAGAAGAAGAAGAAGAAAGCAAATGTAGTAAAATATTAACATTAACAGTGGGAATTCTAGATGAAGAGCGTGCTGTAATTCTTTATAATACTTTATGACTTTTCAAAATAAAAAGGTTTTCAAAAAAAGTAATGAGGTCTTTGAGAAGGATTACATCCATATTTTACATTTACACTCACAACTCTCAAAGACTCCATAATCCCTTTTATTTATAAAAGTATGATTTGTCCTTATATCCTAAGATTGAAGATTTAGTGTTGCAATCCTTATGTAAAAAAGATTACCTGAGTGAAGGTGGGGAGACAAAATTTTAATAACTGAATCAAGCCAATTCAATTACACCAATATTCCTGAGCACTTATTATACAGCAGGCATTGTGTTAGAGCCTGGGGAAATCTGGACTCTGCCTTCTTGGAGCTGACATCTAGTGGCGGGGATCTTATGTTAAGCAAGAAATAACTGTGATGGGCCAGGTGCAGTGGCTCACGCCTGTAATCCCAGCACTTTGGGAGATGGAGGCTGGCAATCACCCGAGGTCAGGAGTTTGAGACCAGCCTGACCAACATGGTGAAACCCCGTCTCTGCTAAAGTACAAAAGTTAGATGGGCGTGGTGGCAGGCACCTGTAATCCCCAGCTACTCGGGAGGCTGAGGCAGGAGAATCACTTGAGCTGGGGAGGCAGAGGTTGCAGTGAGCTGAGACTGTGCCACTGCACTCCAGCTTGGGCAACTGAGCAAGACTCAGTCTCAAGAAAAGAAATAGAAAAGAAAAGAAATAACTGTGATGGGTGTTACCAAGGGAAAAATAGAGGGTTTAACCTAAAAATAGAGGGCTGAATCCAGGTGCAGCCAGGAAACTCTGAGATAATATAAAAAGGTAAATGCATATGCAGTGAAAACAAATCTTTAGCTTGACTAAGAAGATAGAAAAGAAGATCCAAATAAACAAAATCAGAAAAGAAAAAGGAGCCATACAACAGACACCACAGAAATACAAAGTATCATTAGAGACTACTATAAACAAACGTACACTAACACACTGGGAAACCTGGAGGAAACAGATAAACCCCTGGACACATTCAACCTACCAAGATTAAACGGAGAAGAAACAAAATAAGAGCAACCAGACTGAATCAGTAACAAAACGTCTCCCAACAAAGAAAAGTCCAGGACCAGATGGCTTTACTGCTGAATTCTACCAAATACATAAAGAACAACAATTCTGCTCAAACTACTCCAAAGAATTGAAGAGGACGAAACTCTTCTTAAATCACTGTATAAAGCCAGCATTACCTTGATACCAAAACCGAAGACATGACAAAAAAGAAAACTACAGGCCAGTATCTCTGTTGAACAAAGACCCAAAAATCCTCAACAAAATACTAGTGAACTGAATCCAACGGCACATCAAAAAGATGGCAGAGCAGGAGACAGTAGCTCACACGTATTAATTCCAGATAGGTAGGAGGCTGAGGCAGAACTGCTTGAGGTCAGGAGTTCAAGACAGCCTGGGCAACAGTGAGATCCTGTCTCTAAAAATAAACAAAATAAAATAAATTAGCTGGGCCTGGTGGTGTACACCTATGGTCCCAGTTCTTTAGGAGGCTGAGGCATGAGAATAGCTTGAATCCAGGTGTTCGAGGCTGCCGTGAGCTATGATCGCACCACTGCACTCCAGCCTGTGTGACAGAGCAAGACCCCATCTCCAAAATAACAATAATAATAAAATAATACACTGTGATCAAGTGGGATTTATGCCATGGATGCAAGGATGGTTCAACATAATGTAAGTCAAAAGGTGATACAACACATCAACAATGTGTTATGTCCTTCATCAATGAAGAACAAAAACCAAATGATCATTTTAACAAAGACAGAAAAAAGCATTTGAAAAAATTCAGCATTCCTTCCTAATAAAAGCTCTCAACAAACTCAGCAAAGAAGAAACATACTTCAACATAATAAAGGCTATAAATGACTAAAACCCCAACATCATACTGAATGAAAGCCTTTCCCCCTGAGAACTGGAACAAGATAAGGATGCCCACTTCTTATTCAGCATAGTACTAGAAGCCCTAGCCAGAGCAATTAGGCAAGAGGAAGACATAAAAGAATTGGAAAAGAGGAAAAGAGAAAGTTGAACTGTCCCTCTTTGTTGATTATATGATCTTACATATAGAAAAACCTAAACATACCACCAAAAATTCTTAGAACTGGTAAACAAGTTTAGCAAAGTTGCAGTCTATTAAAATCAACCTACAAAAATCAGGAGCATTTCCATTCAACGGTAACATACTAGCTGGAAAAAAAAATCAGGGAAGTAACACCATTTACAATAACTATGCCAAAAAATTAAATAGGAATAAATTTAATTAAGGAGATGAAACACCACTACAAGGAAAACTATGATACACTGAGGAAAGACACTGGAGACAGAAACAAATGAAACAAAATCCCATAGTTACGAAGAATTCATATCATTTATATGACCACACTACACAAAGCAGTGTAAAGATTCAATGTGGCCAGGTATCGTGGCTCATACATGTAATCCCAGCGCTTTGCAAGGCTGAGGCAGCTGAGCACTTGAGGTCAGGAGTGCGAGACCAGCCCGCCCAACATGGTAAAACGCCGTCTCTTTTAAAAATATAAAAATTAAACAGGTGTGGTGGCACATGCCTGCAGTCCCAGCTACTCAGGAGGCTGAGGCAGGACAATCACTTGAACCCAGGAAGCGGAAGTTGCAGTGGGCCAAAACTGTGCCACTTCACTGCCACCTGGGCAAATGAAATAAGCTAAGCATAGAAAGACAAATGTCCCATATTCTCACTCATATGCGGGAGCGAAAACAGAGCGAGACTCCATCTCAGAAAAGTAAATATTCAATGCAATTCCTAGCAAAATGCCACTAATATTCTTTATATAAACAGAAAAGGCAATCCTAAAATTCATATGGAAACACAAAAAACTCCCAAATAGCTGAAGCAGCACTGAGCAAAAAGTACAAAGCTGGAGATATCACACTACCTAATTTCAAAATATACTTCAAAGTTAATAGTAAAAAACAGCATGGTGTTGTTATAAAAACAGACACTTAGAACAATGGGACAGAATAGAGAAGCCACAAATAAATCCACCGGTGTATTGCCAACTGATTTTCAACAAAGGCACCAAGAACATGCAGTGGGGAAAGGACACGCTCTTTAAGAAATGGTGCTGGGAAAACTGGCTATCTGTGTGAAGAAGAATAAAAACAGACCCCTACCTCTCATCATAAACAAAAATCAACTCAAAAGAGAGACTTAAATCTACGACTCCCCACAACTATGAAACCACTACAGGAAAACATAGGAGAAACTCTCCAGGACATTGGTCTAGGCAAAAACATTATGGCTAAGACTTCAAAAGCACAAGTAAAAGAACAAAAATAGACAAATGGGACTATATCAAGAAAAATCTGGCCAGGCATGGTGGTTCACGCCTATAATCCCAGCACTTTGGGAGGCTGATGTGGGCGGATCACAAGGTCAAGAGATCGAGACCATCCTGGCCAACATGGTAAAACCCTGTCTCCACTAAAAAATACAAAAATTAGCTGGTGGTGGTAGTGCACGCTTGTAGTCCCAGCTACTCTGGAAGCTGAGGCAGGAGAATCGCTTGAACCCGGGAGGTGGAGGTTGCAGTGAACCAAGAACGCACCACTGCACTCCAGCCTGGTGCCTGGCGACAAAGTGAGATTCTGTCTCAAAAGAAAGAAAAAGCTTCAGCACAGCAAAGGAAACAATCAACATAGTGAAGAGACAACCTGTAGAATGGGAGAAAATAACTGCAAACTATTCACCTGACAAGACTCTAATACTCAGTTTATAAAGGAAATCAAATAAATCAACAGCAAAAACAAAAAAATAGAAAACAAATAATCTCATTACAAAGTGGGCAAAGGGTGTGAACAGACATTTCTCAAAAGATGTCATATAAATGGATAAGAGGTATGCGAAAAAATGTTTAACAACACTAATCATCAGCGGAGTGCAAATCAAAACCACAAGGAGACATCATCTTAGCACAGTTAGAATGGCTACTATCAAAAAGACAGAAAGTAACAAATGATGGCAAGGATGTGGAGAGAAGGGAGCTATGATAACTTAGGTGGGAATGTCAAGCAGTGTACAGTCATTATGGAAAACGTTATGGAAGGCCGGGCACGGTGGCTCAAGCCTGTAATCCCAGCACTTTGGGAGGCCAAGGCGGGTGGATCACGAGGTCAAGAGATCGAGACCATCCTGGTCAACATGATGAAACCGCAACTCTACTAAAAATACAAAAAATTAGCTGGGCATGGTGGTGCGTGCCTGTAATCCCAGCTACTCAGGAGGCCGAAGCAGGAGAATTGCCTGAACCCAGGAGGCGGAGGTTGCAGTGAGCCAAGATCGTGCCATTGCACTCCAGCCTGGGTAACAAGAGCGAAACTCCGTCTCAAAGAAAAAAAAAAAGTTACAGAGATTTCTCAAAAAACTGAAAACAAAACTACCATATGAGCCAGCAATCCCGCTACTAGGTGTTTATGCAAAGGACATAAAATCAGCATATTAACAGGGCACCTGTGCCTCCATGTTTATTATAGCACTATTCACAATAGCCAAGATACGGAATCAGTCTATGTATCCATCAAAGACAAATGGATAAAGACACTGTGGTAAATATACACAATGGAATACTATTCAGCCATTAAAAAAAAAGACTGAAATCCTCCCATCAGCAGCAACATGGATGGAACTGGAGGTCATGACGTCAAATGAAATAAGCCAAGTACAGAAAGACAAATATCCCATATTCGCACTCATGTGTGGGAGCTAAAAAAGTTGATCTTATGGAGGTAGAAAGTAGAATGATAAGTTACCCGAAGCTGGGAAGGGTGAGAGGAGGGATCAACAGAGTTGGTTAATGGGATAGAAAAGCCGTTACACATATAGAACAAATCCTAGTGTTGTATACAGTAGGGTGGCTATAGTAACAATTAACTGCATATTTCAAAACAGCTATAAGAGAAGACATAAAATGTTCCCAACACAAAGAAATGGTAAATGTTTGGGGTGATAGATAGCTTAAATACCCTCATTTGATCATTACACATTGAAGGAACCTATCAAAACACTACATGTACTCAATAATATGTACAATTATTATGAATTAATTTAAAATTTTTCTGTTGCAGTGAAAATTATTTGGTTAAGAATATCACACTACACTCTGGCTGGACGCAGTGGCTCACATCTGTAATCCCTGCACTTTGAGAGGCCAAGGAAGGTTGAGGCCAGGAGTTTGAGACCAGCCTGGCCAACATGGTAAAACCCCATCCCTACTAAAAATACAAAAATTAGCTGGGTGCAGTGGCACAAGCCTGTAATCCCAGCTACTCAGGAGGCTGAGATAGGAGAATCATTGAACTTGGGAGACAGAGGATGCAATGAGCTGAGATCGTGCCACTGCACTCCAGCCTGGGCAACACAGTAAGACCCTGTCTCAAAAAAAAAAAAATCTGACTCTAGAAATATTATGACTAAACTCTATCAGATAGGTCTTAATGACAGTTTTCACAGTTTAACCCACTCGAAGGCATCAAATATAACGTGCACTTACTGCACTCAGTAACGTAAAACCACTTCAGAAACTGAAAAGCAACAACGGTAGAGCATTCATTCTCACAAAATCTAAAGAAGTGAATAAACTGTGCAATACACTATACCTCAATGTTTCACAATTGGCATACTCTTTTCTAAAATTCAGGATGCTGCCCAAAATGTGCCAGCAGGAATCTCTTCTTCCTACTACCTTAAGTAGTGTTACTGACCTGCATTTTCAATACACACCCATGCATTGCTTAATAACAGAGATATGCTCTGAGAAATGTGTCCTTAGGTGATTTCCTCATTGTATGAACGTCACAGAGTGTATTAACACGAACCTCGTGGGATAGCCTACTTTACATCTGCTACATGGCATAGTGTATTGTTCCTAGGCTACAAACCTGCACGGCATGTTACTGTACTGAATACTGCAGGCAATGTCAGCACATGGTAAGTATTTGTGTATCTAAACATATCTAAACACAGAAAGGGTATATAAAAATACAGCAGTCATCCCTTGATATATGCAGAGGATTGGTTCTAGGGGCCAACAACCCCTAAGACCCCCTACCCCAACACGTACTAAAATCTGTACCGACTCAAGTCCCACAGTTGGCCCCGCTGAACCTGCGTATACAAAAAGCCCTCCCTTTCTACATGTGAAGTTTCAAATCCTGAGAATACTGTATTTTCCATCTGCATTTCATTGAAAAAAATCCACATATAAGTAGATGGAACCTGTGCAGTTGGAACCCTGTTGTTCAGGAGTCTAATTTATTATCATCTTGTGGGGCCGTCATCACATATGCAGTCTGCTACTGACTGGAATGTCAATATATAATACATGACTATAATTTAGGGAAACAAGGTACCTAAACTTGCAATATTTTCTCTCAAATATGCTGGGAGAAAGTGATGAAATAATTCTGAAAAACGCTACGCAAAAATTATAAAAATTCATATGTAACTTATACTTGGCCATTATTATTATGCACATTTTACCTGTAAGAGAGAGTAAACATGAATTTACATGTATTTTGTTTTTCAAATTTCCTAAGCTGAAAGGCTTAAATGAAGGAAATATATCCATCTACTAGGAATCTCATTGTGAGATTCACAGACGAGCTACTTTTCCCACATACCCTTACTCCAGAAAGCAAACAGAATCTCCCAGGCCAAAGTTGGCCCTTAGCAGGAGAGTGAGGAACTGTGTGATCCATCACTGCTTCCATGACATCTCATCCCTGTCTCTAACTTCACAGGGATAACAAGCTTTGTTCTTCTTCATTTGAACTCTAGCTTTCCACTTAGTATAGCATCTAAACACATCCTCCAATATGTGCCTTCCCCTACTACTCCTTTCTAATTCCTGCCCAAGGTCTCTCCTTTCTCTTTATCCAGTCAGTCAAAACCATTCCTTAACTATCAGTAAGTATAAAGTTAGTTAGCTCTTTGTAAAGAGAGAAGAAAAAGCCATGAAAAGCAATGTAAGTATAGAAGATGAGAAGTGAAAATCAGGGGACCTGAGTTTCAGTTCGACACTAACTATTAATCTATGTGACCATCACCTAATTTGGCTCTAAGTCATTTGCATTTCCTCTTCTGAAAAATGATGGGGTGACTTTCCAAACTTCAGTGACTTCCAAATTTTGTTTTTACAAAACTGGGTGCCTTGGGGTTGCCAAGTGGGCCAAGGAGAATGAACTGGCTTAAAGGAGAAGAAAAAAATCCCATTTTTAACTATTTTCTGTACCGTAAATTCTAAATGAAATTTCATCTCAAAAAACAAAAAAAGGTTTAGAAATCACTGGATTAATTAAACTCTAAGGGTCCCTCCAGGTCTAAAATGTAGCAGATCTCTTAATAAAGCAAACATAAAAAAAGGTTTCTATCATAGATCCTTTCTAAATACCAATTCTATATTTTCAAAACTTCTTGATCGGCATATATCTATTTTTAAAAATTACCTGGAAGAACATAAGACCATGAAATCCCACTATCAAACCAGATGTCCAAAATATCCTGACCTGGCACATATTCCAAGGCATCAGGACCACCAACCTAGTAAGATAATGTAAAAGCATGTTAGTTGACCAAGGATCACAACGCAGATAATAAATACTGCATCCCAAAAGTCTTCAGAAAATGAAATACAACCAAGAAGTTCACATTTTTAGATAAAATGTACAATTTTTTTTTTTTTTTTTTTAGATGGAGTTTCACTGTTGTTACCCAGACTGGAGTGCAACCACTGCCTCCTGGGTTCAGGCAATTCTCCTGCCTCAGCCTCCTGAGTAGCTGGGACCACAGGCGCGTACCACCATGCCCAGCTAATTTTTGTATTTTCAGTAGAGACGGGGTTTCACCATGTTGACCAGGATGGTCTCAATCTCTTGACGTCGTGATCCACCCGCCTCAGCCTCCCAAAGTGCTGGGATTACAGGCATGAGCCACCGCGCCCGGCTGAAATTTACAATATTTTTAAGCATTTCACGGTTAAGTACAACTCCCTCCATTCACATTTAAAAGTATCTATGGCCACTGAATTACACATTTACCAGTGTAATATGTATTGCTTTCTATTTTCTTGAAATTAGCTTTAAATTTGGATATTTTAATGTGTGATACAATCAGCTAACTCTACTACAAATCCTCCAAAGGCCTTATATAACATTAGACACTGTACTCTCACAGTAACAATTACATGAGCTTAATCAACCAAGTCAGTCAAAATCAATCAATCCTGGCCCTCAATCAGATAACAACTGACCCTCACATTCCACTACTATATTAAACACTACATTTTGTTTTGTTTTGTTTTGTGTTTCTGAGATGTAGTCTCGCTTTTTCACCCAGGCTGGAGTGCAGTGGCGTGATCTTGGCTCACCACAATCTCCACCTCCTGAGTTCAAGCAATTCTTCTGCCTCAGCCTCCTAAGTGGCTGAGACTACAGGCGTGCACCACCAAGCCTGGCGAATTTTTTTTTTTTTTTTAGCAGAGACAAGGTTTTACCATGTTGGCCAGGCTAGTTTTGAATTCCTGACCTCAGGTGATCCACCCGCCTCAGACTCCCAAAGTGCTGAGATTACAGGTGTGCACCACTGTGCTTGACCTAATACTATACTGTTTTTTTGGGGACAGAGTCTTACTCTATCAACCAGGCTGCAGTACAGTGGTGCAATCTCAGCTCACTGCAACCTGTTTCCCAGGCTCAAGCCATCCTCCCACCTCAACCTCCCAAGTAGCTGGGACTACAGGCACATGCCACCATGCCTGGCTAAATTTTATATTTTTTGTAGAGACAGGGTTTTGCCATGTTCCCCAGGCTGGTCTTGAACTCATGGACTCAAGCTATGTGCGTGCCTCAGCCTTCCAAAGTGTTGGGATTACAGGTGTGAGTCATCACGCCCAGTCTTAAATACTGCACCTCTATAGCTAAACAAAATGTCCATTTTCAAACTGAATTAGCTACTAATTTACAGCGAATATATTTGTTAGCTTTATGTAAGATAATTTTTTAACTCTCAAGAATCTCTCGTTGTCATTTAGTCCTGTAATATAGGACTGTAATAAAAGCTGTTAAATACAAACAGAAATTTACCTCAGATAAGACTTCCTTTGGAAGAAGCTGCTCAGGAGGAAGAGTCCACCAGATATCACTGCCGTGCTGCTCCACTAGTTTAACGATATGCTCAATGGTTTGGCTGTTCAGGGGGACATGGCAGAATCGTTCAATTAATTATTGTGAAGAATAACATTTTCAAATTAACAAACAGTGATTTTTTTTTCCTATCTTTTCCCTCAAACCCTAGTTTGAAGAAAAAGCTTCTATCATTTCAAATTCAATATAAATTTAAAAATGATTATACACATCCCCAAAAAGAAAAAAAAAGTCTTCTTCTGACCACGCTGTTTCAGTTCTGATTTACCTATTTCTACCAATCTATTTTCTATCCAGGTACATACTCGAAACCTCCTGATTATCTTTCCTCTTCTGATTTCTAACTAAATTAAACCAACTTACTCTCTCATTCCACCTTTGAAAGATTACCGTGGTTCCCACTGACAGTTATCAGTCCAACCTCATTTCCTCACAACTAGACTGATGCCTTCCCTCATCCCTTTCATTTACAAAACAGCCCTTGAAATGAATGCATTCCTAAACTGCTTTTATCACACGAATAATCTGCTTGAAAACTGTCCAGGACTCCCTCCCTGCTTACAGACAACTGCGTAAGAGGCGATGCCACACCAGAGCAGAGACTGTGATGAGAGGCATCAAGGCTTAGATTCTGACTGTTGCTTTGTATTTATATGACCATGGACAAATACCAAAACTTCTTCAAGACTTGGCTTTCCCTTCCGTTATAAATAATCTCATTCATTTGTTCAAAACTATGCAACACCTCCAGTGTCTTGAGCAGAGTTGTAATCACTGGAGATACAGCAGTTGGCAAAACTGCCCTGATGAAACTTACATTGTAGTAATTCTAGACACCTCCCTCAGAACGACTACAAACTAAATGAGACTACACACATAAAACTTAGTACACTGCTTAACACATGACAGAAAGCCAACAAATCCCTATCAGATAAATAAACAGAATTTGCTGTACCTTTGGGAAGATACACAATAATAAATGATTTGAAAATTAAACTCAGGGAAAAGAATCATACTCTATTTTCTCACGAGAATAACACACTTTTAATTTATTAG